CAATATTCATTTTTATTAATTAATCAGCATGGATCCAACAAGGGGAGGACAAGGAGGAATTCAGATGCTTCTTACAGCAGAACAAGAGGCTCAACAAATTGTCACATCTGCAAGAAATTGTACACACCTTATTATTTGACTTGATTAAATTTGATTGGTCCAATTTTGCTCGAGTTAGATTCATAAATTTAATTAAAAAATGTCTAGTTATGGGTTTTTAGCTAATTTTACATATATTCGAGCAGCTCGTTGAGCACTCAAGCGTACAAACTACATAATCGAGCTCGAATTTGAAGTGCTTGAACTCGACTCGGGACTAGTACTCAAACTCGAGCTCGAATTTTATCGAATTTATTATTTGACTTGCTCGAATTTGAAGTACACAACTTATTATTTGACTTGATCTGAATTTGATCGATCTGAATTTTGCTCGAGTTAGATTTAGAAATTTAATTAGAAAAATATATAGTTGTGGGTTTTTTTAGGTAATTTTACATATATTCGAGCAGCTCGTCGAGCACTCGAGCGTATAAACTACGTGATTGAGCTTGAATTCGAAGTGCTTGACCTCGAATTTGAAGTGCTTGAGTTTGAGTCGAGCATTGACTCCAACGCTTGCACGCTATTATAATCATTTGCACCCTACTTATGACCAATATAGGGCAAATTTAATTTATTAATTCACTTAATTGAAATTTTAGTGAAGATGGCAAGGCTGAAGCAGGCCAAGGAAGAAGCAGATAAGGAAGCTGCAAATTTCAGGTCTCATATGGAAGCTGAGTACAAAAAGAGTATTTCTGAGGTTTATTTTATCACTTATATTCATGAAAAAAGAAAAAAAAAATATATGTGAAGTTATTTAGCTTTTTAGTTGCTTGTAAATTTGATTAGCTTCTGATTTCACTTCTGCATTTAAGCAACTTTTGGCAAATTTGCCTTTGCTGGTTTAACGCTACAACATTTTTAATCCCAATGTTTCAACATTGCGCCTTTGATGTTGTGATTTAATATTTTTCTGCAATTTCAATCATTTGATAACCTTAAATTACAACAAATTCACAGATTTTCGATTGACAATTTAATTCCTGTAATTTAAAATTTTGTTGCAATTTAAAGTTTTAATACAATTTATTGATTTTTCTTACATGACTAAAAAATGCACTTTTCTGCAACTTTTTTTCTTCTCATATCTTCAAACCCAACAATTTCTTGATTTTCCTTACATGAAAATCGAATTATATGTGTAAGTTAATTAAATTCGTCGATTTATTTTCTTCACATTGTAGTCTAGTGGAAGTTCGGACTCGACTGTGAAGAGGCTCGAGGCTGAAACCGATGCAAAGGTCGAGAGCTTGAAGGCAACAACCTCAAAAGTGTCCCCTGAAGTTGTGAAAATGCTTTGCAATTTCATCACAAGTGTTAAAAACTGAAATGTGCTGCTATGAATCAGTTATTGGGAAGTTGATTTTGAATTTTTCATGATTTTAGTAATTTCTACTTGATGACCATGGAATTTTTCTCAGACAATAAATTGTTGTTACTGTTTTGTTTCAAGCTGCAAACAATCAACTTTGGCTTAATTTTGGTAACGTTATGTTTTGAGACATTATTTATTATTTACATCGTAGTAGTCTGGTTAAACTGTTTAGAATATATCTGCTGCAATATACAAGTATATGTTAGCACGTATTTTAAAATAAAATGCACATGGAATGTGTGTCAATACATCAATTTATCGATGACTCCATAAAATAGTTATTTGTTGATTCCATAAAATTTTATTGAAAAAAATTTCACAAAATTTTTAAAATAGTGTTTTTTTTTTTTCTGTAATTAAAATCAAGCACACAACATGAGATTGATCAGTAAAACTGTGTCTGAGAATTTGTACATTACATGTCATGTTCTTCAATAAATTAATGACAAAAAATAAATTATGGGAGTAATTAAATAGTCCTAAACTTTAAACTCGATTTATACTAAGAATAATAATAGTCGAAAAATAAGTTTCAGACCTATCAATTCAATCCATTAGAGATTAGAACCCATTATTTTGGCCATATTTGAGCCCAATATATTAGTCTCATCCATTTGTGTTAAGGGCCCAAGCTTAAAGGCGAAGTAATTTATTGACTATACCAAGCGACAAAGGCCCGTACAGAAAAGCCCAAACAAGCACTTAAAACTGAAGTCGCGGTGCGCATTTAGCATATTTATCCATTTCATCTCTTTATACACAGTCGAGCCAAAGTCGCATTCTCGAGTCTTCATACTCGAGTTTAAGCTCGAGTCATTACCTAGTTGAGCTCGATTAATTAATCAATTGAACTAAATAACTAGTTCAAGTTAGATTGGATAATTCACATGCTTGATACTCGAGCCATAATCGAGTCGAGCTAAAATCGTTACCCAATTGAGTCGATAAATTAGTTTGAGTTAGTCTGGTTAATTTTTGATGCTCGAGTTTAAACACGAGTAATAATTGAGTCGAGCTCTGCTCGTTAATCAATTGTGCTGTTAAATTAGTTCGAACTATACTAGTTAATTTGTACTCTTGATGTTCGAGTTCAAACTTGAACGATTATCGAGTCGAGCTCAATTTATTAAGTGATTGAGCCGATAAACTAAATCGAGCTAGACAAACTAACTTGAAATACTGATATGACATGCGAAGCTCGAGCCATAATTAAGTTGAACCCATGTCGTTAAATAATTGAGACAATAAACTAATTCGAACTAGACTGACTAACCCCTCTTGATATTTACGTTCAAGCTCGAGCCATAATCGAGCCGAGATTAGCTCGATACATTAGTTCAAGTTACACTAACTAACCGCCACTATTGGCATTTGATTTCGAGCTCCAACTGTAATCGAGTCGAGTTCGGTTTCGGTAATTAATTGATCGATAAACTAATTTAAGATAGGACAAATTAGTTTGAGATAAATTGAATAACTCAGCATTTGATGTTTGAGTTAAAGCTCGAGTCGAGTTCGGCTCGTTAAAACTCTTGACTCGTTTATTATATACAAAAACATCCACATAGGAAAATCTCATTTCACTAAGGTTTCCCTGTTTTGAAGTAACTTTTTCTATCTTCTCCTAACCCACCTGAGCTCAGCTTTAGATGAGATCGTGATTTCTCCATTTAGAGCAGAAGAATGTCTGAAACGACGTCGCAGAGTCAACCGCCGGCGAAGGATTTGATCGGCTCATACTTCGTCGATCTCTGGAGCCACACTTCCCAAACCCTAGCTCTGAACCCCGAGAATGAGCCCGAAGCCGAGGAAGACGAGGCGGAGGAGTCTCCGACGGCGCTGGATACGGTGAACAGCTCCGGCGGATTCTCGGTGGTGGGTCCTGACAAGCTCTCGCTCTTGTACCCGAGCGTGAATATGCATGGGCACGACGTCGGAGTGGTGCAGGCGAATCGAGCCGCGCCGTCGAAGCAGCTGCTTTATTACTTTGAGATTTATGTGAAGAATGCGGGTGCGAAGGGGCAGATTTCAATCGGATTTACCACGGCTGGTTTCAAGCTTCGCCGTCAACCGGGGTATGCTCTCAATTTTGCAGCTTGTTTTGTGTAACTGGGCTTTATGCGTTTTTTTAATCTCTTTATCGATGCTGTTCTTATGAATTGTGATTGGGTTTCTTGAGTTGGAATTGATGGCTAAGGATTTGATTTAGGGTTGTTTTATTTTCTGTGTTCAAATTGAAGACCATATACATCGTAATAGAAGGTTACTTGGAATTGGGTGTCATATTATGGAAGAGTGATGAAAAAATTCTATTTTTGGAAAGGCATAAAGTTTGTTTTGGTTGTGTAGGAACTGCACATTTATTTTTTCATTTTATCTTGGCTTGAATTTGTAATTCGAACTGTTAGCTGAGCACAACCAGGCCCAATCACCTTGAATGGGAACTTTTACCGAAGTAAGGACGAAAGAATAGTATGGGAGAAAAATAAAACAAGCATGCGTATATCAGTACTGGTCCTCATTTACACATGTAAGCTAAGATTCACCCTAGCAGGAGCTAACAATATCTAATTTCACCAACTGTCCTCTTTAATTGATCACGGGTGTAAATAATATGCTACTACATTTTCTATACTATCAAATATAACCCCAATGCATTAAACATAAGCATCTGCTAACATTGAATTGAATGTGTTACCCTGATTAAATACATTGTCGTCGCTATAAATGGGACCGGGATGATCTGATTTTCCAATTTTTTACTTTTTAAGTGTGGTTTTATGCTTCATAGAACGGATAGTGGCTGTATCTGATTCTTTTGCTCTGTTATATATTACTCATCATTTGTGGGAATCCTGGTTTCTGCGTGCTTGTGATTTACTATTAGTCATATTTTGTCTGTTTNAGAATTTGTGATTTTGTTAAAGCTATAAATGGTTCCAAGTATTTTAATTTGCTCTAAGAATTTGAAATGTCAATCATACTCTTTCATAAATATGGAAATATTTTTGTCCATTGCAAATGGAGCTGGAAGAGTCATTGTTGACAATTCTCCTGGCATGGTGCTAATAATGGACTAGATCAAAATGACTCAATTAAATTCTAGTGCTTCTTCTATTAGTATTAGTGAAGTTTCTAGAAATTTTTTTTTTTATCAAACGGCGCAATGCACCTTGGGTCGCTACGGAAACAGCCTCCTTGTATAATTACAAGGGTAAGGTCTGCGTACAACTGACCCCCCAGACCCCAACCTGTTGGGAATATACTGGGTATGTTGTTGTTGTTGTTGTTGTTGAAGGCAGGCTCACCAAAATAAACTCTGTAGGCAATGCATATGTGAGAATCTCAGTGTAACTGCTGGCGGATCTTTGAAATTTAAGATTTTATCTTATGCATTGTTTGAATCTTTGGCTGTGTGACTCACTGCAGTTGCCAGGTTTAATTGCTATTACTGGATTTTGATGTCTTTTCTTTACGCTTCTATATCCGGCAGCTGGGAAGCAAACAGTTATGGATATCATGGTGATGATGGGCTGCTGTACCGTGGACATGGAAAAGGAGAGACATTTGGCCCGACATACACTACTGGTGATACAGTCGGCGGTGGAATCAACTATGCCACTCAAGAATTCTTTTTCACGTAAGATAGTTTGGGTTTGCATTTTGACTGTACAATTTAATAGGAGTTTCAAGAGATGAGGTTAAACTTTGACAATACCTTTATCTAACTAATTGCTAGAACTATTATAGCGCTTCCTGCAATCTATTCGATTTGCATGTCTATTTCTTCCTTCATCTATACCTAAAATTTCTTGTTATTTGTAACTTATCAGGAAAAATGGGGCCATAGTAGGCTCTGTATTTAAGGATGTCAAGGGTCCATTGTTTCCTACCGTTGCTGTTCACAGCCAAAATGAGGAGTATGTATATTATGTGTCTTATTTGATATTGTAATATAATACATGAGCGGAGTGAGTTACCTCTTGGCTCCCTGTACAATGAAATAGTCATTTCACTTTCATGGTCTAATGCCTAATACTTTGTTACAGGGTGACTGTAAACTTTGGGAAGGATCCATTTGTCTTTGATATTAAAGTAAGTTTTACTGCTCTTCCATTGCTACCGACTTGTTTAATCACTTTCTGCCTAAGTTACGTTACGGTGAAACACATTCCCATATCTGGATTCTGGACTTATTTTCAATTGCAAAGTTGGGCAGCCTCATGAAGTTGAGATACAGGCAGTTATTGAATGCCTCTATTCGGTCTATTTGCCCATGGCCATTTCATTTCTTCTGACTTGATGATTTCACTAATCATACCCTGGTTGATAGTTATATGTTTTTGTGAACTTTCTTCTAGATATATTATTTTTGTCCTTGGGTATTTTTTATTTACTGATATGTGATGGCTCTTGTCTCCAATTATTCAGGCATATGAAGCAGAACAAAGAGCTAAACAGCAGTTAAAGATTGATAATATCTGCTTACCTCAGGATGCTAGTTACGGGTTAGTTCAGAAGCTATCCAGTGTCCTTACACATTAAATATGATTGTATTGGTACCAAATTCATTTCATGTATTTGCATTAATGACTCTGCAAGTATGGGAAATTCTTTATTTTTTTCTCATGGTTTAGCTGGTTGTTCTCGTTTTATTGTTGTTCGCATATTAATGCCTCTTACAGATAATTACACCAATGCGTGAATTTTATCTTTACATTCATATTCAATCACTTGAGACTTTGGTCAGCTACAAGGAAATCTTTCATATTGACTTTATATTTCATTTTCCAGAATCGTGCGGTCTTATTTACAGCATTATGGATATGAAGAGACACTTAAATTACTTGACATTGCTGCTAGTAGCACAGTGCCGCCCATTTCTTTAACTCAAGAAAATGGTACTAATGAGGAAGATAGCGCATATGCATTGAACCACCGAAGGACCCTTCGTGAGGTATGACCTGAAGCTTGTTTGTAGTTTCACTGTCATTTTTTATCATTTCAACTCTCAGTTAAACTCGGGGTTTGACGTCCCATCCACTGTTAATTGTTCTTTTTTATAATCAGTTACTGACTTTCTGCACATAATTCTTGATTAATGATTTCTTTTATTCTTCACGTAGCTGATAAAGTCAGGTAACATTGATGAGGCATTTTCTACACTTCGCAAGATGTATCCTCAAATTGTTCAGGTAGACGATGTACAAAATTTTCACTTTAGAAAAGTCTATATAGTCAGCCTTTTCACATTTGAATTGAATTTATTTATTTTTTTATCTTTCCATATTGATCTCCTCTAAACAAATAATGTCTGCCTTTATATCACTATAGTCAGCATAACTTGCTCGTAAGAGTCTACTATATGTATTCCTCCACTTTATTATGTCCGAGCACTATGAATACAACCATGAGATTTCAGGACCTCTCAACTCCGTGTAATTTTTGCAGTTTCAAGTAATTTGTTTCGGAATGTTAACTGAATTATATGTGCAGTTAGTGTGGTAAATGTTCATTTTCATTTCTTCATCCCACGATTTATTGTCCTACTCTTTGCAGGATGACACATCAGCTATTTGCTTCTTGCTGCAGTGTCAAAAATTTATTGAACTTGTCCGGGTGATTATATCTTTCTTCTGTGATGAATATTGCTGGATAGGTTTTCAGTGGAAGGTCGTAATTATTAACTGTCTTATATTTACTGAAGGATGGAAAACTTGAAGAAGCTGTGAACTATGGTAGAAGTGAATTTGACAAGTTCACAAATTTGTCAGGGTCTATTGACCTAGTTAAGGTATGCTTCAAGAATACTCGTCTTTCATCTGAAGTCTTGTGTCATGGAAGATAACTTTTGCGGTCTTTAACAAAAATGCATGGATCACATAAGCATTCTAATTCTAACCGATTTATATAGGAGCCTGTTAAAGCAAAATGTTATCTAGTGGATCTAGGGTTAATAACAAAAACCACCCTTGGTTGCGAAAAACCAAATAGTTGAAAACTATAAACTCGAGTATTTTATTTTTTAGTTGTTGCCGTCTTGAGTATAATACGTGTACATTACGGAGTAAATAAAAAATCATTGGACGATTTTCCTTGTCCTAACCAGGAATGTGCCTCCTTGCTGGCATTCGAACAATCAAGCAAATCGCCCGTCGGTTACCTTTTCAGAGAGTCTCAACGGGAGCTAGTGGCAGATGCTGTGAATGCCATGATTTTATCCACTAACCCAAATGTAAAAGAAGTTAGTCTGTGCAAGCATTCATGCCTCGAGAGGCTTATTAAACAGGTAAATGCTTGCTCCTTGGAAAAGAGGTCCTTGAATGGAGATCAAGGGGAGGCTTTCCGGTTGAGCCAGATTCTGAACAGTGGTAAGAAAGGTTGAACAAGGAAAACCCTGACGACTCATTCTCACTGTGTATCTTTTTTTTCTTCTGTCGGGCCTCTTTCCGTACACAATGTGGGATAACTCTTCGAGTTTTTTTATTATTTTGCGAGAGATAAAAATTGGATGAACGAATGGGGATGAAATACTGTACTCTCTCATGTGGGGATTGGGTTTTGTCGGTCTAGTCGAAATTTGTGGAAGTTGTGCTTGTACAGTTCGGGTTTTATGTTATGTGCTTTGAAATTGGAATGTACATGAGCTTTTATGTTGTAGATTGGATATTGATCCAAAGTTGAATTATGGCACGATTGCTAGTTGCTACTTGTTATTTCGGTTTTGTTTGGTAATCAGCTGTTAGCTGTTGGTTGTTAGCGAATTGCATTAGCTGTTTTGATCAGCTGATCGTGTTAGCGGTTTATAAAAAAAATGTTTAGTAAAATTAACTAGTTTAATTAGCTCTTAACATGTAAAATTACTTATAAGGACATCAATATACTTTGTCATTCCAATTTATGTTGAACTTATAATTAGTTAAGAAATAGAAATAATTAATTTTTTAAATATTTATTAAAGTGATTTACATATGATTAAATATTTAAATAATAATAAAATAAAAATATTTCAGAATCGAGTAAATAAGTTCATGTCATATAAACAAAGCCAACAAGAAGTCATACTAATTGAAATATAAATGTAAGTCAATTGCAATATCTGCTACTATAATAATATACAAATATAAGAGAAGAAAAAAGAAATACTAATGCTCTATGAACGACGTCTGGATGCCATCAAATATGAAGCTATATCATTACGAACGTTTGCCATCTCTCGAGTCCTCATTTCTCCACCACCTTGTGCAGAATTATTTTCAACATCTTGGTACACATCAGGAGGTATGAATTCAGGATTCGCATCAATAATTCTAAAGTCCGAATGAATTGTGCTTCTTCTAATATAATTGTGAAGTGTGAAATATGAACAAATGATTCTATTTTGATCCGCTAATGAATATCCCGACATTTATGCAGTATCTTTCATCAAGCCTTAAGAACACTAAAGGTCCTTTCAATGCAACTTTTTAAAGATGAATGAGCCCGGTTAAACACTTCTTGAGATCCCCTCGGGTTTGAACTACTAAACTCAGATTGATGATATCTTGTCTTGGTGTAAGGCGTTAAATAACATTCTCTTTCTAGGTAGCCTTTGTCTACCAAGTAATATTTACCTAAACGTACACGAGTTATACTAGAATTAAATCATATCGAAGACGTGTGTGTGTGTGTGTGTGAGAGAGAAACAATGCATATAAATGATAATTACAAGATACCTAATGGAGGTTTCGGAAAATTGAGATTTGAATCATTGATCGTATCAAGGAAAATACGAGAATCATGTGTTGATCCCTTCCATCCTGTTAAAACATATGTGAACAACAAATCAAAATCACACACTGCTAAAACATTTGTAGTAGGTATCATTTTTCTTCTCCTGTAACAAATTTGATCGTCTTCAGCTACGGTTATCGCAATATGTGTACCATCAATAGCTTCAATACAATCTTAATATGACATAATAAAAATTATATTATCATCTTCAAGCATTAAAAAAATGTGGTATATGTCTCTCATCACTGGAAATATGTTACATTAAAATGTTACCTTAAAATGTGGTATATGTCTCTCATCACTGGAAATATGTGTTGGAATATCCTTGAACTCGGGATCTTTCGGTACAAGTATATCTCTTGAAAAGCTATCCATAAAATCTAAAACTTGTTTGAAAATTTTACTCACAGTTTCACCAGAATGTTAAAAGCGTTGTTGAGTGTCTATTAGAAGCACTCTTACTAAGTAAGTACATATACAAATAACACTACTTTCTCTAATACTGACATCCTACGTGATGGTCTTAAACCGTATATATTTTCTAAATCTAAACATAATTGGTGAAATGTGTTTTGGTTCATTCTAAGGGCATTAAAACATCGTTTTTCATGGCCGCTCAATAACCCATTTATCTATCTTTCTACTGTTAAAAAAAATGTCATGCACGGTTCCTTATATATATGATTCAAAAAATACCAATATGCATAACCTATAGCACAAGCCATCACATCCCAAAAATTATCTTCTTCTTTCAAGTACTCTAGGCACAGGAGATATTGTTGTTCGTGCAGAAGAAGTTGCTTAATTTTAATGTCATTCCTTTTCATGCCTGAAAAAATTAGAATAAAAAAAAAGTATATCAATTTTAAAAACGCAACTACATAGATTAACAAAGTTAATTGTAGCAAATACAAATACCAAAACAAAACCATCAATAAACAAACATCCAACATTATCATACAACCCAAAAGCAATGTCCAGGAAATGAAAAAGAACACATCATTCAGGATTATACAATAAAAAAAGAAAGATAAAACTTAACTATTTGTTTTCCTACTCTCCTTATACATGTACTTAATATATTCAACCCTACTATTATCATCAGGCAAGCCAAAGAAAATAGTTCTTTTTTGTGGATCTTCGAACATCGTGCAAGCAAAGAAAAATTCTGGCGAAGTAGCTGTCAAATCCGAAAGAGTGCATAATTTGGCCACAGCATCCCCAAGGTCATAGTTAGACTTTTCCTTCATTGACTTCACTATATCCATGTGCAAACTTATCATATTCTTCATTGAAGTAATAATTTTTTCTGTTGAATGACTTCTTTCTGAAATTGTTTGCATCATTCTTCCAAGCATTTCTTGAATTGTTGCAGCCTCTGCTCTCTTACTTGAGTTGGTTCTTGCAGCCTTACTACTTTCTGAGAAGTTCCCAACAAAGGACCTCTTACCTTTTCTCCCATCATTCGCTTCAATTTGTATGTCACCAGGAGAACGGATAGAGGTAGATGTACGGGACGGACTAATCTCTCTCCATACCTCGTCGCATGATTCATCTGCCGCACAACAATTGTCGCCACCATAATTATCATTGCCGCTCTCATGTAATGGAGAAGGAACATGCACCTCATCAACTTCTTGCATCACATGTTTTTGCTGTAAACTTGATACTGGAGTAAATTTAAGTTTGCCTTGGGCAGAAATAGCAAAAATTTGATCCATTTTACACTCAAGTTCTGTATCGATCCCTTCTTCTCGAAACACTTTATACTTGGAGTTTTCCTAAATGTAACACGTGAAAATATATAACTAAGATTTACACTCTTTATAAATGGGAACCAAGTAAATAAAAAACTTTAAAGTGAACCAACCTTAATTCTCAAAGCCCACCATTCATCTGTAGCATCAATAGTCCCTTTTATAAGATCCCAGCCTAATCCGGTCTCCTTGCCTTTCAATTGTTTCCACAGGCTCCACCTAGTTCTCATCCAATCCACTTTGTTCTTTAATTTATTTTTATCCCATGGCAAGCTAGTTCTTTTTTGAAACTCAGATACCACCTTTTTCCACACTAATCTTTGACCTGTGACAACTCCACTTTTTCCTTTTCCCTTACTCCTTTCAGCATGTTCGATACAAAGATCACAAAGGAGGTATATTAATTCTTTGGACCAATAAACTCTACCTCCTTTGTTATTTTTTTCACCTCCTTCACTTCCTTCAAGGTTCTTTTCAATAGGGGTTTTCATCTAAACACCAAATAAATTTCAAAGCTAAAATCACATTAATCGAATTTTGTGAAGTTATCAAGTACACACAATTATTCAATCATTGCTATAATTTCACCAATAATTTCACTCAGGAGTGAAGGTCATGCCATTTATCAAGGTCATTCCATGTCATTTATCATATGATGATGAGCCCCGAGAAGATCAACTACAGAGGAATCAAGGTCATGCCATTAACTACACGGAAAGGAAATTTATTTAAGATAACACACGATTTTATGCTAGAAGTTATATTCAAGATTGAGTATAACAATTTATTTCTTGGATAACACACGATTGCTTAGTTAATTTTCTAATATAGCACACGATTTTTCAAGATTATTATCATTTGTCATTTATCAATTTTTTTAAGAAAATATTAAATCAAGGACATGCCATTAACCATGATCTAATAGCAACACTTACACATTTTCCAGAGTTTCATATCACTACATGTTTAAAATAAAATATGTTTAACAAATCCATTTTTAACTATGCAAATGTGAAACAGAAACGTTTGAAGTTAAAAATATGTTTAACAAATCCATTTTTTACAGTACAAATGTGAAACAGGATTATGATACAATAATTTTCAATTGCATATTACACAGATGAATGAAAATCTGATAAAGCATATCCGTAATCTATATTTTCTTGCCATCCAGGAAGGAGATGAAAATAATGTATAATAATATAAAACTTATGCATATCAAGCATTAGTAGCTGGGAAACAAACGGTGATTATATTTTCTACACACTTCCTCACCAAACTAAATACTCCGAAAATAGCTATAAGATTAAGTTATTTTTACCCAAAATACATCCATTAACATTGCTCCAGTAACTTCCCCAATCCATTTTCACTCAGCACCCACATGGAAAAATCCGAACAACTCAAACCAGATTTTGCTATTTGGACTCTCTGTCACACTTACACTCACATTATTTTCATTTTTTTTTTTTTTTTGNTATTTGGACTAAAAGATCCATTTGGAAACTGAACACTCACATTACTGTCCTTAGTCCCCCAGATTTTATATTCCAACATCAAAATGTAACATAAATTGCCGTAGAAAAGAAGGAAAAAGTGAAACATCAAATTCTTGTTCCCAAATCAATCAACAATCTGTAAACCCTAAATTTAAGATTTGGAACTATCAGTTACTTTGTTTACTCTCTAATCCCAAATATCATATTCCTTTCAAATTGATGATGAACATAAAGAGAGAGAGAGCGTGTGTGTGTGTGTGTGTGTGTGTGTGAGAGAGAGAGAGAGAGAGAGAGAGAGAGAGAGAGAGAGTGCGAGAGAGTACCTCTGTGTGAAGGGAATTCGCTCTCGACAAGAGAGTGGGATGCGCCGGCAGAAGAGTAGGATGTGCTGGCGGATGAGGAGGCGGTGATCGGCGTTCGGTGAAGAGCAACCGGAAGGGTAACAGCGGAAGAGATGATTTTTTTGGTTCGAGCGAATTTGTGAGTTTGTGAATTTGTTTTGGAAATGGAAAGAAAATTGGAAGGGCAAGAGAACCAGAGTGGGCAATTAGGGCTTTATAAAATAATTTACTCACATTGATTTTAATATATTCTTAAAATTCTACTAATAATTAATTATATTATTTTTTTTAAAATTAAATGTGATTAACCAAAATAATTTATTTTGAACAAATTATTTCATAAACAATCAAACAGACTTTAGTATTTTTATTGTGATAAGCTAAACTCAAACGTTGCTCGCTGCAAAAGGTAGCGTTTTTTATTTCAGCAGTTGGATAACAAAAGCTGGTGGCAAAAAAATGAAATCCAAATTTCAGCGTACCAAAATTCATTATTTCTGTAATTTCAGCCTTTTTTGGTAAAATGAAATCCAAATTTCATTAAAATTCATTATTTCCGTAATTCATAATTAAACTAGTACAATACCCGTGTGAATACACGGTGTTGAATTAGGAAGGATATGTAAAAAATATTACTTTTCTAAACGAAAATAATTTAATTTTATATAAAATATTATTTTGGGTTTTAATTAAATTATTAAATTATATTTTTTTATCATAATAATTAAACACTTGTATATTAAATGAAAATGTCAACTCATATTGAATTTTTTTACTTATATCATATAAAGTTATCGATATTATTTATTATTATTAAGTAAAAAAATATATATCTTAAATAAATAAAAATAATATGGTGATATGTACATGCATAAGTAAAGAATATGTTTGTTTAATATTAAACAAAATAGATTAATTTGTTACTTAATTAGATGGCTAATACATCAAGTGTCGTAACCGTCGTGCTTCACAGTTTTCTAACTTTATATGTAATTATAGAATTTAGATAAATATTTATTTATTTTTATTATATTGATAACATACCAATTAGATTTGAAATAAATATAATTTTTAAAAGAATACATACCAATTTCTTTTACTTTCTAATATAATTTATAGTTTTATTTGATATCTTTTAATTTAGTTTGATAAATAAACTTAAATTTAATTTATAAGAATACATATTATTATTTTGTATTTTATATATATAATATGGATGTCAAATCGAAAATCGTTAAAAGATAGTTAATTTGATATATCATATATAAAAAATAAAATACAAACACAAAAGTTATAAAATCTTAAAATAAGAAGAAGAAACATTTATAATAATTAATTAATGAATTAAATAAGAAAATAAAATGTAATGTATGGTAATGTAGGAAAAAGAGTATAAGATAATTTATGGTAACTAATTGTAGAAGAAAAGAAGGAAAAAATCAATCATGGATTGATATGTATTCTTTTAAGAATAATATTTATTTCAAATCTAATTGGTATGTTGTCAATGTAATCAAAATAAATAATTATTTATATAAATTCTAAAATTACATATAAAGTTAAAAAACCTGTGAAGCACGATTGATACGACACTTGATGTATGCATCTAATTAAGTAAAGAAATTAATCTATTTTGCTTAATACTACCTCCTATTCTTTTTAAATGTCATTTTGGTTTTGTTAACTATTATCGAAATAAATGTCGTTTTGGATCTTTTGTACATATTTTTCCATTATTACCTTTATTTAGCTAATAAATACACTACATCTTTTCATATTCACTCTTCATTTTTTTTCCAAAACATCATTCTCTATCTTCATTAAATAGGGTTATTATTGACAAAAAAAATATCCTTAATTAGTGTTTAACTTCTTAAAACGACACTTATTATGAATAGGAGGGATTATTAAATAATCATATTCTACACTTATGCATATACATATCACCATATTATTTCTATAATGTCAAATCGTGTTGAATTTTTTTACTTATATCATATAAAAATATCGATATTATTTACTATTACATAAGTACAAAAATATATATTTTAAATAAATAGAAATAATATGGTGATATGTATATGCATAAGTGTAGAATATTTTTATTTAATATTAAGCAAAATAAATTACTTTTTTTACTTAATTAGATGTCTAATGCATCAAGTGTCGTATCAGTCGTGCTTCACAATTTTTTAACTTTATATGTAATTTTATAATTTAGATAAATAATTATTTATTTTTATTAGATTGACAACATACCAATTAGATTTGAAATAAATATCATTTTTAAAGGAATACATACCAATTTCTATTATTTTATAATATAATTTATAGTTTTATTTGATATAATTTAATTTAGTTTGATAAATAAATTTAAATTTTATTTATAAGGATATATATATATATATATATATATTAATGTTTTATATTTTATATATATAATATGGACGTCAAATCGAAAATCGTTAAAAGATAGTTAATTTGATATATCATATATGAAAAATAAAATACAAACAAAAAAGTTATAAAAACCTTTATAAAAACTAATGAATGAATTATATAAGAAAATGAAATTTGATGTATGGTAATGTAGGAAAATGAAACATAAAATAGTTTATGATAACTAATTGTACAAGTAAAGAAGGAAAAAATCAATCATGAATTTAGTGTGATAAAAAATATTAATTTATATTCAAGTCTAACTCAAAGCATGGTTTTTTGTCAAATAAGATTTCGAAGCGTGAGAGTTTGTCACGTAGATTCAGCGCATTATGAAATTATATATAGAGAGGATTAAAGAGGTTGCAAATAAGGAATGTTCAAGAATTTTGAGTTGTATTTTGCCAAATATATTATACAAAAATTTTATGAAGCCATCGGATGGTTTTCTCTCCCTATTTATAAATATAGAATTTTTTTATTAATTTATCTATGTCTATAAAAACTTTAAATTCATACAATATTTAACTAACTTAAATTATAAATATATTTTAAAAGCTCATTCATTTGTATTTATTATCAATTTTTCGGTACACGATATATCTATTATCACCAGATTGTGAAAAAAATATTGAATCTCAATGTAGAATATGTTGTTATTTCTTCTTCTTCTTTTATTCTATTTATTTCAATTATGGCATGATATTATTTTTCTTTTTTTTTTTCCTTTTTTTTTTTTTNCATCAAAATCTCATGCCAACGTTGGTGGAATGAAAAACCGTAATACAAGGATGGACAAATCTCCGGCCACCATTTTTCATACCGGCCGGCACAAATTGCGCTTGCTATCTTCCTCACATTTTCTTCCCATTTCCCCCCTTTTAATTCCCTTTTTTCATTCCCTCCTGTTTTTCGTTCATCAGATTCCGCCTCCAGAATCCAGAGCTTCGAATTCTGGAGACGTGGGCTCTGGTGAAAATCGCTGTGGTGCCATTCATGTGATCCACTTTCTTTAATCCTCTCCGCCGTCGCCACCGCCGCTTGAAGGCCGTACTCTCTGTCCCTCTCCCTCTCCCTCTAGGACGGTGACGTAAAGGTACAGTGTGCTTGATGTGTACAGACTGTTGTTTGTGACTTTTGATTTTTGTTGAATACACGCACACAATGTTTGATGATTGGCGCAAGAGAATATACATTGAACTATATGTGGTGATTGTTGTGTTTTTCTTTTTTTTTTTTCAAAATGCTGGGATGAAGAACTCGTCACACTGGTTGAAAGCCTGCAGTTTGGTTCGTTCCTCAATCAATAGATACAAAATCAAATCAAATCATATCAAATCGAATCACCGTGCAGTCAGTTTGTAATTCATACTGCATTTGGTGCTTCTTGTTCTTCACTAGAAATGTATCAAATCAATATCATTATATAGCTTCAATAAAAAAGTTGTCAAACTTTTCATAAAACTCTGTAAGAAAACAATTTTCCACATCCTATACACCGCATGCTTTTTTCTAACTCGACATAACCCAATCAATCAATCTCACGTTTTTACAAACAGGCGGGCCCGCATTTCTTGGAAATGGGCACCACAAATGGCTCGTCAAACCTAAAAGCCTTTGAAGATCACACAGGGAAATACAGCCCGTTTTCCCCTTCCTCACTTCCTGATTCCTCGCTCAATGTTAAAGCTAATGAGGAAGGGTTAAATTCGTCCGAGAGCTTACTCATAGACGAGCAGCCCTCGTGGCTCGATGACCTTCTTAACGAGACGGAGACCGTTATCTTTGACCGAGGTCATCGTCGAGCGGCGAGCGACTCTTATGCATATTTGGGGAATTTGGCAGACGAGGCTTTCAACTTCGAGGATGAGTCGAAGTACATAGACTCATTGTTCGGGCCATGTAATTCTATGCCCTTCAGGAATGTGGGCCTGAACGAGGCCAGACGGGGTTTGTCGTTGGCCCAGAAGAATAATCAGGTATTTTTATTTTGTTTAATTTTGCTTTACTTTTATGTGTGTGTGTGGATGGAAATGAATTGTGCTGATTCGGAAAGTTATTTGACGTATTCACCTATTCACGATAAAAGGTAGCTAGTTTTCAAAATTACGGTTGTCCATTGAAGGTTTGCGTTTTCTTGACGAGTGCTGCTGCCTGTTGAGTGCAAATTTTGTGAAAAGGAACAAATATAGGGGCATGCGAAATATTTTAACTATAGCTAGCTCATGATAAGTTTTGTAATGAATCAACTGTATTCACTCTCTTAAACTACAAGCTCGCTACTTTTGC